CTAAACTTTGAACTGATTTTTCAAAGCGTTTTCAAAACAAGCAGAGTTATAAAAGAAGTCTATACATACTTTATATCTGATTAGTTTGACCACTTCATTTGCATCGTTTTCACTCAATGTTATTTTGAGGACTGTTGATAAAATGTGATCTGTTCATGTAATGAACCATAAAAAAAAAACATGGTTAATAGACACAAAATGAAAATTTGCTCCCCCCTAAATGGTTTCAAACTAGTATGAGACAAAAACTTCTAAGTGCCGTCTGAAATTGTCTTCTAATATTAACGTTTTTCCCAGCCTCCTATATGTCTTGATTCAGTCATTTTACTTTTATGGCAAAAATAGCCTTTTTATTGCTTTTAACATGAAATAACTGAACATAAACATAAGAGGCTGAGAGAAATTATCATTGTAGAAGACAATTACACAGTAAAACCCAAAAAGTTAAAAGGTAACTCAAACCATTTGAGGAAACTGCTTGCAACAATCCATTTAAGTTCAAAAACTGATCATAATGAGTGCTGTGAACTTAATCTGTTTGAGTAAACGAAGCAATTTGAGCATAGTAAAACCCAATAAATGAAGAACTCAAATTAACTGAGTACTGTAAAACCCAATAAGGTCCAGCAACTGAAACCGTTTGAGGAAACCAATTGCTACAAACCATTTTTGGTAAAAAATAAATAAATAAAATAAAAAACTAAACTATATGAGTACTGTGAACTAACTCCATTTAAGTTAAAGTAATGAGGTGTTCAATTAACTCATTAACTTCAACACGGAGTTCAAAACTCTTATCTTATCTTAGCTTAGCTAAACGCTAAGGAGTTTTTCTAATGGCCCAGATGGAAAATATTTTTTTTGCCCCATCAAAAATATTATAATTTAATACATTTAATAATACAATAATAACTTTGCAATAAAATTATATATTTTTGATATTTCTTAGCAAAAATGTTTAATTATTGTGTCAAAACAAGCAAGCTCTAGTTGTAAACATACACTTTTTTTCAACATAAACATTCTTAAAAATAAAAAAAGACAAATGTTTTGAAAATATAATGAACTAAATGCATGCTTAACAGTCCATCCAGGTCAGTGTCTTCAGCAGTACATACATGGGGAACTTTAAAACAAATGTTATTATAAGGTGAATAATTAAAGCAATATGGTAAATAGAGTTAAAAATTATATTATTCAAACAAAAAGTTAAAGTCTGTGTGTGTGTATAGTTTAGGTATTTTATTTTATAGTATATGTTAGTTATGCATAGGTTTTTTTATAATAGCTCTTATGTCCAGTGTTGCGTGTGTATTTATGATTAATTTATGTAGCACTGTTGTCTGGCAAGACATGACATTTTGTTCCTCTGTATGTCCACACATCTAGCGGAATGACAATAAAGCTCGACTTGAACTGCTGGATGGAGACGCAGTGGCGCAGTAGGTAGTGCTGTCACCTAACAGCAAGAAGGTCGCTGGGTCGCCTGTTTGAGCCTCGGCTCAGTTGGCGTTTCTGTGTGGAGTTTGCATGTTCTCCCCGCATTCGTGTGGGTTTCCTCCGGGTGCTCCGGTTTCCCCCACAGTCCAAAGACATGCGGTACAGGTGAATTGGGTAGGCTAAATTGTGTGTGTGTGTGTGTGTGTGTGTGTGTGTGTGTGTGTGTGTGTGTGTGTGTGTGTGTGTGTGTGTGTGTGTGTGTGTGTGTGTGTGTGAATGAGTGTGTGTGTGTGTGTGTGAATGAGTGTGTGTGTGTGTGTGAATGAGTGTGTGTGTGTGTGTGAATGAGTGTGTGTGTGTGTGTGAATGAGTGTGTGTGTGAATGAGTGTGTGTGTGTGAATGAGTGTGTGTGTGTGAATGAGTGTGTGTGTGTGAATGAGTGTGTGTGGATGCGTCCCCCAGAGATGGGTTGTGGCTGGAAGGGCATCCGCTGCGTAAAAACATGCAGGATAAGTTGCCTGGAAGGGCATCCGCTGCATAAAAACATGCTGGATAAGTTGGTGGTTCATTCCACTGTGGCGACCCCGGGTAAATAAGGGGACTAAGCCGACAAGAAAATTAACGATGAATGAATGAACTGTTGGTGATTGTATGGGTGTTGATGGCCAGACTGGGTAGCTATACACAAACAAAGGAAAATTAAGAGCTTAAAAAGATATTTAAGACCTACAACACAATATTTCAGTCAATTTAAGACTTTTAAGGCCTAAAATTCTGTTTTTGAGATTTAAGACATTTTAAAACACTGCAGATACCCAGCATGCTAAAAATATATACAATGTAAGTCGATGGCTACTGGTTTCAAAATGACTTCAAAATATCTTATTAACTGTATTCATTATGGTTAAAGCGTGAATTGTCACTTTAAAACAGTAGTTTAGTCAGCATGCTGCTTTATTTTAACACTAAACTGCATCAGGTTTAGTAACCACAACCTCTCTGAGTGTACATTAATTGTGTTTATTTAGATGGTTTTTCTGATACGACCACAGAGCTGGAGTGCAATTTTTGCCTGAGCCAGTTATATGAGTCAGTGAAGCACTTACAGAAAACTTGCTGTTGTTGCTGGCTCTCTGTCTGACCCTTCACATGCCCTCTCCTTTACAAAGCACCAAGTACATCTATGCAGAGATCCATCATCGTGGGAACATTCAATGAGGAGTCAAGTTCATTTACATTATTACAAGACTTCCAGAGCAAACTGCAGCATGAATTGCAGCTCAAGGTCAAGAGCAGGAACTTGTTTTTGTTACGTAATCTTGTACTGCTTTTATATTATCGAGTGAAGAACATTTGAACAACCAATCGTTTAGGGCAGATGCTGCAGTAAAAGATTTATTCATTTGAGACGGAGGGACCTTAAAGGAACGCTGCATCGCTGAATATGGGAATGTAAAGGAAGAACTTCTGGAAAGGTGTGAAAGAAATAATAGAAAAGATACTTGGGGTTAATATACTAATATCTCCTTTAGTTTTTTATTTCATTTATATCCCAAGGAGATCAAGTTAAAAAAAAGAGCATCTTATTTATGAATATATTTTTGAATATACAGTTTATGAATATACAGTTGAAGTCACAATTATTAGCTCCCTAATGATTTTTTCCCCTTTTTAACGGAGCTAATAATTGTGACCTTGAAATGTTTTTTTATTAAAAACTGCTTTTATTCTAGCAAAAATAAAGATTTTCTCTAGAAGAAAAAATATTATCAGACAGACTGTAAAAATGTCCTTGCTTTGTTAAATTTTTTGGGGGGGAATATTTAAGCTATATTTTTGATAGTCTACAGAACAAACCATCATTATACAATAGTCTGCCTATACTAACCTGCCTAGTTACCTAATTAACCAAGTAAAGCATTTAAATGTCAATTTAAACTGTACAGAAGTGTCTTGAAAAATATCTAGTCAAATATTCTGTACTGTCATCATGGCAAAGATAAAATAAATCAGTGATTAGAAATGAGTTATTAAAACTATTATGTTCAGAAATGTGTTGAACAACTAATAATTCTGACTTTAACTGTATGTATTCTGCAAGCGAAACGGCTTATTTCTCTAAATTGAAAAAGTATATGTGCACCAAATATAGACTGTTGGCTGAAAGAGATGTTAAACATGTCAATGAAAAAAACGTCTATATTAATAAATAAATATATATATTTTTGATAGAGTTGAGGGGAACTTTTATGTTGTTTTTAAAAGGTGGTGGAGTTGGAAATGTTTCACTTGAAGATTAGTAAAAGAGTTGATACTGCTTTCTCATGTAAAATGCTGTTGATTTGTTTGCTTGTTGGTTTATGTTTACCTGGTATATGGAAATGTGTATGTACATGTTAAACTACAATTAAAAGAAATTGGAAAATAAAAAGATTAATTAATTAAATATCTTTAGTTAGTTAATTTATTGCTAAATCAGAAACTTCATGGCAAGATCAACATGAATACATGCTGCTACATAATCATAGTAACTTCAATAACAACTTCAATTAAATGTAATAAACCAAATAAACTATACACATATACACACTCACATCATGAAAGCTACAATATTTGTTGTTCAAACACGTCTTTTAAACTTTTAATATCTAGTCACAGTCTGTCAAAACTAAATTATAACTATTTTTAATTAATGTTTTCATGCCTGTCTAACCCCACAGCATCCAACAAGTTACTGAGGGAAAGTTGGTTTTATATTTGCACATTCATTCAATAACAACTTGTTACATATTGTTTACTATGGTACTTTGACTATTCAGCTTGAAATCACATGAAAATAACACTTCAAAACAACATTAACACTGTTAGTTTGATCATTAACAATGTGGTACTTTGATAGTCGTTGGCCGCTAATGGGATTTCAGTATTTAGAATTTGCAAAGAATATTTTACTGAAATTATATTATTAAAGAGAAAGTCTGAATGTGTGAATATACAACCAACTTTACATCAACAAGTTAAATAAATTGGGGTTTATTAAAGTGTCTTTAATCTATAGTCTTTGGGTTTATACAACATTATTTACCGTATATTGAAACAACACTTAGGCTACTTAACAATAGCACTATTCAAATGGTACTAACAGCATTCTTGTAATCGACAATAAACATTTTGTAACATCTTGTTAATTTCCAGTATCTCATCTGTGTGAAATGTCGCTTTGGCTAAAAAAAAATACGACCAATACTGTACGTAAATTTTACGTCCAAAATTTTCGTACAGTACATTACTGTTATTAACACTCACAAAAGGACAGTGCAGTATGTTTTTATCCACATATCAGCCTCTGTAGTTTAAGAATTATTCCCCGTACAGACATTTAATTATAACAATCCGATTCGCAAATACACAGTAAACAATCTTAAAGAGCAGACCACTAGATTAACTAATAGACTGGTTGCTTAATCTCTTGCGGTGCATATCTCTCAGCTAGCCATTAATGCTATTGTGCTAAAAGCAAATGCTAACATTATGTCTCATGTGTCCGATGGTTACATACCTCGGTCCGTGGGTGCGGATTCTGTTAGCTGAAGACCATTGTTTCCACTGAACTCATGGTGAAATGCAAAAGCATGAATCAACAGCAGACGCGGGCGCGTGCATTTGTATCAGTTTCGCTGCTCAAGGGGATGTTACATTGTAACAGGTTGGAGGAAACAGATCAGGCTTGTCATTGGCCGAGTTGCGTCACGTGATCAAATGAAGGCTATAAAGGGCGGATGAAGCTCCGTGAGCGTATGCGTGAGGAAGAGACACTCAAGGAACAGCACACGTTTAGAAACTTCTAAATTTCGTGTTAAAAAGCCTATTATTCAGTCGGTATTGAGGGTTTAATTCGTTTATTTCATGACCTTATAAACTGTAGAACTTACCAAAGTTATCAAAGCCATTATAAATAATGTAAACATAAAAGGTACAGAAACCGTTTCCAGTCGTAATTTTACTTGCTAGAAAATTTACAAAACAGTAGGGGAGAGTGGGGACATTTCTTTCAGTTTCTCACAGACAGTTTTTTTTTTTTTTTTTTTATGGAAACCCAAGATTTTAAAATGATAAACCCACAGCTATTGAACACCCACCCACATTGCTATAATATGTGAACACATGATATTATATGCACAATTTATACTTGAACAAGCAGGGGGATGGTTGCAACATTGATTAAAATGTAATAATTAAAAGTATTCAGGTTGATTATTATGATTTGATAAAATGACTGAATGTAAAATTGTTAAATTTGTTCAATTGGCCATATAAATACAGATTATTAAAAGAACAAGCAATAGCCAATTATCAGGCCTAAAAAACTGAACAAAATATTTGTTTTACTGAAAATCTAGACTAAACCTTTACTAAACTTTGAACTGTGAAATAATTAGTCAATGAGTTAATTTTTTAATGAAGTTACATTGAAACTGTCATCGAATCAAATTGTACATTGTCAATATGGCAAGTTTTTAATTACATTTTGTTATTGGGGACAGTTGCAATGGCATGTTGCAACTGTCCCAACATTGGTCCCAACTCTGTTAACCCTGATTAAACTATGCTAGGGAAACACAACAGCTTTAACGCTTGATAGCTATATCCATTTAAAGCTAAGAAAATATTTAAATTATATAAATGAATAATGTTTCACAAAAACAGTATTTTCGTAATTTCTTGAACATAAAAAAAACTTTTTCTACCTAAAAATGATTTTTTTCTACTGAAAGAATGGTCACATATGGCTGATTACTCTCAGATTAAAGGAAGGTCTAATTGCAATTATGTAGTATAACTATCATCACTCATTCTTAAATGGAGGAACAAGTCTTGTTGAAACTGCCCCTTGTTGCAACTGTCCCACTCTCCCCTTAACAAAGAGAGGGAGAATAACAAACACTATGTTAAATTCTCAATAATACCAAAATATAATTTTATCGTAAAACACACTCCATTAACAACTTTGATGGCTTCAGTGTAATATAAATACCACAATAATCAAAAATAAATCAATCCAGTTTTATAGGGTCAGAATTTAATTAATTAATTTACCACTGTATTACGCATTGTAAAAATAACAGTAAAGTATATCTTATCACTCCTTGTTGAAAAGTGAATTTCTGCAGTGACACTATTTGTTCCCAAAAAAACTTTTAAGTGGACAGTTCCTAAAGGACCGTTTGGACTAAAGGAACATCGTAAAGAACATTAAATGCAATAGAAAGTTTCTATGAATGTTAAAGGTTCTTCATGCCAATAAAGATTTATTTCTAACAGTGTTTGTATATTATGTAAAGTATACCTGTTGAGTTTAGAGGATGTTTATGATGCTCTAGATCAGTGGTCACCAAACTTGTTCCTGGAGGGCCGGTGTCCTGCAGATTTTAGCTCCAACCCTAATCAAACACACCTGAACAAGCTAATCAAGGTCTTACTAGGTATACTTGAAACATCCAGGCAGGTGTGTTAAGGGTTGTAGCTAAACCCTGCTGGGACACCAGCCCTCCAGGACCAAGATTGGTGACCCCTGCTCTGGATCATGGGTGTCCAAACTCGGATCTGGAGGGCTGGCGTCCTGCAGATTTTAGCTCCAACTTGCTTCAACACACCTGCAAGGATGTTTCTAGAATGCCTAGGAGCTTGATCAGCTAGCCCAGGTGTGTCTGATTGGGGATGAACTAAACTTTGCAGGACACCGGCCCTTCAGGACCTAGTCTGGACATCCCTGCTCTAGATTGACCAGGGGTGAGTTGTAAGAAGCTTGGTGGTGCATATGGTTAAGCACATAGTAGATTAACACACTAAGCCTTTAGTTAAAGCGGTCCCACTTTCCACAGTACATGGTTTATGTCCACTAGTTAATGATTTTAAAATACAATGCATATACAGTTCTCAGCATAAATGAGACACCCCTTACATATCTCTTTTAAATTTATATTTTCTAGGATGCTTTCAAATAAAATACAGTGCTCAGCAAATATAAGTACACCCCTCACAAATCTCTCTTTTAAATATATTATTTCCTATACAATATTATATATGTGCATATGCATTAGATTAGTCAGTACTGAAGCCAAATCTGGCAATAGTATTTGGATGCAGCCGTTATGATGCAAGCTAAGATTGCATCACTAAGCGATGCGATGTCAGACAAAATGCACTCAAGTGGAGTGAGTGATGTCACTGTGATGGGTAGGGTTAGGGGTGGGGTTAGGTGAGCCCATCAAAATGCATTGGATGCAGCTCAGATTGCACTGCACCAGGTCTGCATCCAGACCCCTCTCAAATATGGAGCTTATCTAACAAAATAACTTATAATAACGCTCCAAAAACTAGTACACCCAAATTTATGTTATAGAAAAATATTAAATACAAATACGAGGAAAAATCAAGAGAAGCAAAAAAATAAAAAAATTTGTTGAAATTTTGTAGGATGTACATTTTTTAATTAATATTTTGCTTAAATTTAATTGTGTTATCTTTCAATTTCTAAACATGTTTGGTGACAAAAATATTATCCTAATAAATTTATTTGTTTAATAAATCTGTTTTGTTTAAATGCACCAAAATACATTGCCTATATTCACTGAGAAATGTGGAAAAATATTCATTTTTAAAATGGGGTGTACTTAATTATGCTGAGCACTGTATTTGTGCATGTACATTATTATTGGTACAAATACCAAAGCTAGAACTAACAAAAAGAGTTAAGATCACAAAATCATGAGGTTCATGAGAATGATAACGATGAGAACATAAAAAAAATAGTAAAGTTAAGCTAAATTTCAGTAGTTTGTAATTTGCTTTTCCAATAACTTGTTAGAATTTAAATGTACCTTTCTATTCCTCAAGAGGTTAGGTGATCAAACACTTATTTTAATGGATAACTGTTTAATAAAACAGAAAATGGATACAAATGTTCATTTTCAAAAGGGAGTGTAGTCATTTATGCTGAGCACTGTACATCCCTACTTCACTCTTACAAAATGTTCTGTAATTGGCATTATTAGTTGAGTGAAAAATGTTAAATATATTAATGAAACTTTTCCACAGCAATTTTTTAAGTCGAAACCGGTTCTCTAAAACACTAAGGGGCAATATATTGTAGTATTAGGAACAGTTAACTGAAATGTGCTTTTGGGTTTGGATTATTATATCTCATCACTAAAACAAATTGATTTCCTCAATTTGGAACTCTTTGTTTAAAAGTGTGATGAAAAGCTGACTTAAACTGGTTTAGATCGCTAAATAATTAAACCTGCTCATTTATATTCGAGAAAAGCTCATGATTTTCCATCTGGCGTTCGCATGATGTCGCCTAGTGGCTGTAATATAGAAGTGCTCCTAACAGAGGACATCGATCCAGCTTTAGACATTGCTTTCTTTGTAGAATCATTTAAAATGTAAAACGAAAATGGTTGAACGTGTATGACTTCCTGTCTTGTCTGTCTTTAGTAAACGCTTGTATGTAAACGCAATAGCATGTAAAGTCAATTTTTAAGAATTGACAATCTCATTTAAAATTAGGCCTAACAATACTATATATCCATATAAGAAGACTGGGTTATTTTAACCTATTTTGGGTGCAATACAGACTAAACCAGCTGCTGGGTGAATTTGTTTAAATAAGGATCGAATTGAACCCAATGTTTGGGTTTGTCCATATTTTACCCAATTTTTGTTTAAATTACCCAGTATTTCTTACAGTGAATAGGCCACCGAAATTGACAGAAAAAATAACAAAGTATGTTTGGAGCTGTTTGTTCTTAATAAAGTCCTAAATAACGTTTTTTTTATAACCGCAATGTTAAGTTTTTCTTTTTCTTTCTTACTACTTTTCCACACAGCAAAATAGGCTACATATTTTATCTAGACAGCGCTTCACAACTGAATGTTTAATTTTACAATTAAGCATGATCTGCCTGGATTTAATACATTCAATATTTAATACATTTTAAATATGAAAGATCAGAAAAGATTACAAGCAATAATAGGAAAGTACGGATTTTATATTTAGTGAGAAGACAAAGACTAGTTTGATTGCTTCATTTGGATGACTGTTGAATGGATTAAGAGTATATTTCAGGTAAACTAGCTTTGTCTTCATTTCAGTTCAGATGTGAAATAAGTCATTGGTGGTGCCTCACAATGGCACTTTTTCACCCCATAGAATTTTAATGCGAAATAAGACCAGATTACTAGATAGCAAAAAGAAAAAAGTGTGTGCAAAGTATCCTGTCAATTTATATGGCCATATTTAATCTTTACTTCAAACGGCACATTTTAATTAGCAACAATTTACGAACGCAAAGTTTTACAAAAAAATTCCTTTGCTCCAATTTTCGCAAGACATTTTTTGAGGACGATTTTTAAGACATTGGTCTTTTTTATATGTATTCGCGTGCTAATAATCACTGGAATCCAACGGTTTTTTTTTTTTTCAAAAAGATGATGTATACATAATCCGAGAAAATATACCGGCTATAATGCTATTTCGAGCGAGAACATTCCCTTATATTTCAAGATTTAAGATTATTTTTGCATGATAAATTGAATAAAATTGCTTGCGACTGTAACTTCATTTCATCATTTTTATTAAAGGCTGATAGGACATCAGCATCAAGAAGTCACTAATAATCTGAAAAGTACGGTTTATAAATAGTTTTGTCTAGGCTACTCAATATATTTTAGAAATCTTAAAAAATTTGACGTAAAACGCAAGCAGAAGAAGAAGAAATAATCGCATCAAAAAGATTAGCAAGAAATGGAAACGTATCCGCATTAGATGTTTGTATTTTAATCATTTTTGTAGGTATGGCTTTTTACGGATTTTATTTATTTGTTTGTTTATTATTTTGTTTTATTTTTTGGTACAGCAATTGATCTGACCACTGGCCCGCTTTAAAATAAACTTCAAATATTTAAAGAAATTTAAAAAGTTGTCGCACGAAGTTAAATGTTTTGACTGTGTTTCCCCTGGATTTACAGAGGTTGCCCATGCATGCTGAGAAGGAGGTGTGGCGTTGTGCTAGACCTCCTTAAACTCCGATGTCTATGTTCCTGATTCAGAACTCAGTTGGTGCGGTAAGAACAGAAACAGGCTGCCCTCACTGGGCGGATCAGACTTCTCACTCCAGCTGCGTGGACGGGACCACACATTTCGGAACTCCCCGAAAGAAAAGAGAGAAATTCACTTGCACTTTAAGAGTTTAAAGATCGAGCGTCAGTCAAAAGTTCTCCACAAACGCGAGGATATTTTTTTAGATGATCATGGCATCTAAAAATCTGAATGGACGTTTATGCATGGGAAAATCGTAAAATCTGAATCCTCAATGTGTCCTAGGGCTTTCATCAGGCTACCAGGAGGTTCGGAGAGCATCTGCCACATTTAAGCTCTAATAATGCAACATCCTTTGGAGATTGGGGCGCACTATTACCCCCCGGATGCCCATCTAGACCAAAGGTCTCACAGGTACAGGAGTTTCATGATCGAAGAGATTCTTACAGATCATCCGGATCAGAAGGTATCAAGTCCCACCGGAGACCTTCTAAAGTTTGGAGTGCATGCCCTTTTGTCCGCCAGACCTTACCATAACCACTTAGGTAAGTAGCCTTCCGTGACCTTTCCGTCAGATGATATTTTGAGATCCGGGACAGGCGATCTCTTAACCTTAACCTTCTCCTAATACAGAGGACATTCAAATCGCATAACCTCTCTATTTGCATACCCAGAAAGAAAAGATTACATTGTCTCTGCTGACCAATACAAAACAAATCAGATATCAGACCAAAAAATATGCAATGCATTTGAATTAGCAAGCTTGAGAAAATTGCAAATGCACGTTCAGTTCAGGCCTGCTGCGTCAATTCATGCCTTCTTTTCGGGTGATATTCTTGGAAATAACACTATGCTTTTTGGTGCAAAATTCTAAAATCTAAAATAAATACAACAAAATCGAATAAATATAATATAAATTGATAAGGATAAGTGCCAATGTGTCACTATTTTTAGCAAGTTTAAGGCAATTGGTTAACTTTAAAAATAAGATTATTCAGAACAAGAAAACTGTACCCTACAGAACAGAAAAATATTTATTAAATTGTTGCAAAAAATGTTTCCCTCCAATTTTACATTATCGCAACATAGCTTATGCAGTTAAATACGACACTGACCTTTAAAAATAATGTATCAAAAATAGGCTAATATTTAATGACAAATTAATCTAAGATTTTCATTCAAAGAAACATCAGTTTGTTTAAAAGTCTTTAAGATTTTTTTACGAAAATATTTTGTAGCCTTAGTATTATGCGACTCAATTGTAACGAATAGTAGACTATGTAATATATTTGCAAATAGCAAATGTTAGACCTAATTTACATGTGGTTAGCCTACTTAATATTAAACTATTTACTTTTGTGATTACACATAAAATCAGCTTAAAATAAAGTGTAGTCTATCCAATATTATTTTAGAGGCCGATTTAAATCAACCTATCATATATGCACTTCATGGATCCATCCACGCTTTTTATCAGTGATTTATCATGGCTAACACACACTCTTATTTCATTCCAGTTCTGAAGGCAGACCAGACGGGTATCCTGAAGTTTCCGGTGTCTCCTCTGTCCTGCTCGCTCGGGGCGCCGCTAAGCTCTGCGCTTCTGTCCGGTGCCGCGGGTCTACAGGTGGGCTCATCATCCCATCATCTTCCGCTGGACCTCCATCTTCGGGGTAAACTCGATCCTGGAGCTGATGCAGTAAGCAAGACAAAGAAAGGAAGAAGGAGTAGGACAGTATTTACTGAACTACAGCTGATGGGTTTGGAAAAACGATTTGAAAAACAGAAGTATCTTTCAACCCCTGACAGGTAAATACGCGTTTTATTTGATGCATTTATTTAGGTGTCGATGTTTGACTTTATTCAGGTGGATTGTTTTATAAACAATTTGCATGCAATTAGCATGTTTGGTATTGACCAAGAAATGTCTAAGTCGACATCTTTCTGTTTAACAGAATAGATCTGGCAGAGTCCTTAGGCTTGAGTCAGCTTCAAGTGAAAACATGGTATCAAAACAGAAGAATGAAATGGAAGAAAATTGTAAGTTCAACTATCAGGCCTACAAATCTCGATTCATCTGTCATACACGTGAAAATGTAAACCTATCATTGTTTTGAAGGTGTTGCAAGGAGGTGGACTAGAATCTCCAACCAAACCCAAAGGCCGTCCAAAAAAGAACTCCATCCCCACCAGTGAGCAGCTGTCGGAGCAGGAGAGGACACGAGAAGCGGACCGCTTATCCGACGGTGGAGCTTCTTCACTTTCTGATGCAAACCAAGAGGAATAAACGGGATAGATTATCCCGATCCGTGCGAATGCGATTGTCTCTGGGACGCAAAATCGGCCTCTTTGGATGATTGCGCACCGATGCCTTTATGTTGGCACTTACACAAACTTAACCACTTGGTTTGATTTTATACTACCTGTTTGTCTGTTTGTTTCATTATGGCAACTTTTGCGGGCCTCAAAAAGTCACAGTGAACTTTTCCAGGGACCGAGTGGTGATTAGCGAATGGACTTTCAGGATTGAAGGCTGTGGTATCATGGACTTTTTAATCAGCATTATTTGTGCTTTTTTATGTTTTTCATTAGAATTTAAAGAATATTCAAAAAATTATTAAAATGCCAATTTTTTCGAAGCCTGGTTGACTTTTTTTTTCTTAAACACGGCACTACATGATATCAAGTCAAAAATTTCAGTAATAGTCATAAAATTAAAAGTAAATTATTTGCTTTTTGTTTGATATCTTGTCAACTTGTTTAATATCTCTGAGGCGCATCTAAAACGGGCTGTGTAATTTTATGCGGAGTTGTTTATGGCCTAACTGAGCATCATCATACCGCGCATTAAACTTGTTTTGGCGTGTTTACGCAGTAAAAGTAAATATGTGGTAACACAATATTTTCAAAGTGAAGTTATTTATTTTAACAGAAAGATCCTTTTAATCAAAGACACTGACTATGGTGCCAAGAAGAAGTGTCTGAAGTTGGCGATTTACATTGTGATGAATGTGTAGGCCTGTTCATTTAGCACCAAATTATATGCAAAATGCTAAATTGGTTTATTCCAATGATAGCTTTGGAACAGGACTATTTAAATTATTTAACTTTTTCTGATTCTACTAGACTAAGACATTGTATGCCCAGGACACTGAAATTATCTTTAAAAAAACAATAGATTTTATACGTGTATTGTTAAAATTAATATTTATTACATTATACTTCTATAATAAACAGGCTTGGCCCAAAGATTAAACTTCGTTTTAAGTATTTTTATATTCATTCATTTAAAAAAATGGCAGCACGCAGTTACACATATGCATACAATATATTATTATTTAAAAATATTATAGCTAAAACCTTTTGTTGATGTATTCCATAAGTGTTTATTTGTAAAGTTATGCATAAAACAAAACTGAGAATATTCTTAACACAATTGCTGATATCTCTCGTCAGCATTATCTGTGACGTTATTTTCGTTATAAAGCAGAAACAGAAGACTGACTAATAATTTGAAGAACTATAGGCTACTGTCTGGAACATACTTTAAGTTACTTTTCAATGACTTTATAGTTAATTCGTTTATTTTTTTAAATAAATTAGAATGAAAGAAGTACAGCTTTAATAAAACATCGTTTGAACAAAATTAACAATAAATAAAACTTTTTTAACGATAAAATAAAACACACCAAAAAACTTTCACAAGTAGAAAATACATGAAGTTGTGCCCAGTAAACTTGTTCTGTAACTATCTGTGTTTGTATTCTAATACAAGCCAACCTTTTTACGGATACTTCTTTTTGGGGACAAACACATAAATTCGCTACTGATTATATTCCTACTTAATATAACGAAAACAACAAATCACAACGCAGCATTGGTGTAATTCTCATGAAATTATGTTTAGATGTAAAATAAAACCAATGACTACAGGCTATATAGAAATATAGCTTTATTACAGCTTGCAAGTAACAGAGAGAATACTTCCTGATTTGATTCAATTCATTTCACATGTTTCTGGTTTCAATTTACCAATGAGAACTCTAGACAGGACGATTAATCAAAATCATACATTAATGAAGGAATAATGGTGCGCTGCAGTGAACAATTGGGTAAGTTAATTAGATCATACTATTGTATTTTGTATAAATTCTGGAGATTATTATTCAGAAGAGGATCATTCAAGAGCACACAAAAAACAACGCTACTCATTAATATCTCATATGTGGTCGCGACAAAAACATTAAGCACAATTTATCCGTGGTGGTTCTTCAAATACTGAAAAATATATTTATTTAAGGGACGTTCGTGCACAATTTGTGTTTAGCGTTTTATTAATTAAAAAAAAACCGACAAAAGCATATTTGGAAAGGTTCATCTAATACGCTCATTGAAAGTATCAAATAAGGCTGATGTTATAGCTGTAACATTCAGCAAGATATTTGTCATTTTGACTCGTTTATTATAGGCTACAGCTCTCAAGCATTTGCACTTGCTACTCTGTTTGGGAATTTACTAATAAATCTTGCTTCAACTTTAATAGCTCAAATTGAAATAACTTTGTAAATTTTAATTTTATTTTATTTTTGCAAATGACGTTCAGGGTTATAGCAGTTACAGATAACAAGTAACATTCCTTGCTTAGAAATGTATAAGCAGATGTTTTGTTGCCTTTATCTTGACAATTACGTGCTGATTTTTAAAACATTGTTTTCAAAGAATAGACGAAAATAGAAAATAGATTTGCTTTATCCAGGTGTGATTGTAGCTAGTCTTAATGGACTTCGTAGCCTTGTTGTTTTAGCCTGCTCACCACACCAACACGTAAATGTTGCCGTCGTATTCAAACGTGAAGAATTAAGGCCAAATTGTGGCCTCCAGCGATTGTCACAGCAAATACTGCCAAACAGAGAAATTCAGTTTGATTTTGTCGAGGCGATAAAAGCTAATAAACTTAGAGAACGTATGCCATGACAATGTTGAATTGTAATGAAAAGGGCTGTGTTGCAGAAATCTAAATAAATAGTAAATGCATTAAAACTGATTTTTAAAAAACTACAGTTTTCAGTAATTTATCTATTTACACTCCTAAAATGCTGTGCTGTCAATCCAACGTTTGGTCAAATTTGGACAAACGCATCATTTGGGGTAAAACAAAATGCTAAATTTAAAATGCTTAAATTTAAAAATAACTATTATATGTATATAGACCCAATATTTAGTCAATATCACCCAGATTTTTTGTGTAATTAAAAAGTTTAATAGTTTAATCCATATTTATCAATGTTTTACGATTTTTGTTTTTTTTTTTTGTTTTGCTCAAATCAGTTGGAAACGCAAGGAAATTAACATTAACGACTTTAAATCACTGAATTTACGTCACTAACATTAAATGGTCATATTAAAACAAAGCAGTTAAATACAAATTTGTTTAGGATATTTCATAGAATGTAAAAACTGAAATGATAATAATGATGATGATGATGATGTATAATGGTAAATGTACTTATCGTGAATAATCTTGTATAACTAATTTGTATATCTTTATTTTTGATGAGACAGCTATTTCTAAGTTGCACATATAATAGACTTGCACGTTTACACATTTTTGACTAACTAAAGAGAAGATCTACTGTTAGGCATACATAAAATTAATAACTAATAACCTACATATTTTAATTTGCTAACTTTCTCACAGCTTGGCGAACGAGCGGGAGATGTTTTTAGGCTAATTTAAAGTCGAAATGATTCTTCTATTAGAGTTTAGAAAACATTTATTTCCTACAGTCATAAGTTTGTCGTCTTGACTTGAAGTTGCTGATTTAAAGAACTACATTAGTGCGTCTGGCCGGTGGGCCAACAGGAAAGGAAAAGGAAAGGAAGCGCATGCGCAGCAGAAACCGATATCTCCAACCAAGAACCAACATTATGATTTCGTCTAGGCTAGATTTAAAAGTCAAATTTATTTCAAATCGATGTTTTAATTTAAACAGTGGGTGAATTGATTGCCATATGGGCTGTATGTAAGAGTTTTAATATACTAATACATTTTACCCCAAAATGAGCAAAGGTTAAAGACTTTCTTCGGTTTCCTATTGTCTAACAACGCCGCAGAAGTGGGAACTTTTTGCCGCAAAAATCAACATAACGTGCGCTCAATATAACCTATATTCCGTTATTACACATGAAAAATATGCATACACAATGTTCAGGAATGTGGACATTAAAAATAACTATTATACTGGGTTTCCACCAGGTGCTCTGGTGTCCCCCACAGTCCAAAGACATGCAGTACAGGTGAATTTAATAAATTAAATTAGCCGTAGTGTATGTGTAAATGAGTGTGTATGGGTGTTTCCCAGTACTGGGTTGCAGCTAGAAGGGAATCCCGTGTAAAACATATGGTGGATAAATTGGCGGTTCATTCTGCTGATGAATAAAGGAACTAAGCCGAAGGAAGGTGAATGTCTAAATGATTATATTGGAGAATAAAATCACATTCAGTCTCTTGTGCAAGAAAGTTGCTGGGTGCCGTTCACATAACAGCCATCTGATAACTGTTTCCGAACTCTATATAAATCCCTTTTAATTAGTTAAAGACAGAAAATGCCATGAAAACAAACTGTACAGATCACTTCGGTGGTTCAGGGATTTCTTAGGATATACTCAATCAGAGGATGGTCATTTACTTTATGATTCTGTTCCACAAGACACTTAATACTCTTAAGTGCACAATGACAACAGTGCATGCTTTAGGAAAGAAACACAGTGCAATCTCAAACAGCTCTTCCTTCCTAATAGGACATTTAATGTTCTTTGCAGTCTTTCCAGTGTCATTAGCATGGATTTCATCTGAACAAAAAGAGATGGGTTCAAAATGGCAGGTGCTGAAATTTCGCTCAGAAGCATTAAGCTTGAGTGCTTGTGGAAAATAAATGCTCGCATTGTCTTTTGGATTGAAGGGGAATCCATTGCGGATGAAGTCATAGGCAGGAATGCCTAATGCACTCAAGTGAACAAAACCTCATCCCAGAAACAGACTTTTAGCCTGGGCTTGATAAACTCCAGGTCTTCTTAATCAAGATCAAGATTCTGAAATGATCCCATAAAGCCGAAAATATATTTTACTCCATTGTGCGATCAAACAAGTCTCTTGAAAACACAAAATCCCAAACTCTTATTCAACATGCATTATCTTCACTGCTGTTTTTCTCTTAAACGATGAAGTTAACATGCATATCGGCAGGCCCCACAATTCTATGTCGTGGTTAAACATTTAATCAATCGTCATTATTCAACCATATTATACTTGGGTCCTGTTGCTAATATGCAGATTAAGAACAGGTGCATATAAGCAATTCCAAAGCAACTGCATCAGAGGCGACTGGTGGCAACTGTAATCATGTATTGTGAAAGGTAGCATGTTTACAGACTGCACAATGCCAGACATTCAGCACAGTTAAACACTCCACATGTCTTTTCTTTCCTGTCTGGACCTCGTGAAGGCCGAGCGTTGGACGGCAATGACTTCCGACATAAATTACAATCAGCAGGAAGAGTCAGCCAGGAGAAATCTGGTGTTTTGGAGCTTCTACGTGAGATGCAATTTAATCATTAGGTGGACCCCGTTGTGGTG